ACACCTCCTTGCCTTATTTTCAACATGACATGGTCACTTTGTCACTGTCTTTTGAAAAGGTTAGTCAAAATATTAGAGCTGATAAGTAGGTAAATATCACTTCATACACCTTGTAACTCTTTCGATTTCGTCAATTTTATTGGCAATATTAACTGTTCCAGAAAGAGAATGTTCTGCTTAGATGTGATCACATGTTACATGTGACTGGATTGGTTCTAATTGATTAAATTTTGGGATACTTAAACCTGATTTGCAGGAGCTGTTGCTGACATGCACCCTGAACGCCTAATTTTTTCGATAATGAAAGGTCGCATAGCTTTAGTTTGATCCAGAGACCCTCTTCATGCGGACTTCTTGATGCTAAATTTTAAAAAAGCACTTGAATAGGATGGTCAGCTGGTTCGAACTTTTTGAGTAGTACTAAGACGACACCCTCATTATCTCCAACAGTACGAAGAAACTAGGAGATATCCTATGTCAAGTTAAAATCTACCACGCTTTAGTTAAGTTTAGATTAGAAAGGGAACTTGATTTTAAGACACCCTTTCCAAATGTACAGCTAAAGAGACGACATAGAAGATAACTCACACGGTCTACCCACAGAAAACCAATTTGGGAAGGACAATTTACGCCTTCGCAAATTTGGCTGCCTCCAGATACCAAACAAAATTCGGTTCACTCTTTGTGCTACGGAATCCGCATTATTTGAAAGCCGGTGTTGTGAGCGTTTCATTGTTAAAAGCTATAAAACTGAAAGCCGATAATCATCCCTCTCTTGCGGTTCCTAAGAAGCCTTTTCTCTTGAATTTACAGTTCGGTGAAGACCCAACCGCTGATATATTAGGAACTGACTAGCTTACTCACTGAGAGGGAACTGTTTGGTCGCTAAATTCAGATTAACCTTCTCTGATAACCCAACACTCCGGTTATGCCTAAAGGATTAGCTATCTCTTTTGACCACCTTTATGCGTATTTACCAATTCATGCGGTTTTGTGGAGTAAGATGTGTTGGCCGTATTCATAGCTCGCTTTCCAAACGCATTTTCGAAGAAACACCAGCCTGCTTCTACAAAAGCAAAAAAAACAGCACCTTGCACCTCCATCTTAAATTACTGAATCGATTCTGACCACCTAGTAAATACAAAAAAATAACTTCAGTATAATCGACAGAATCCATACAAACCTCATGAAAGGTGTACACCCGAAACTTCTTGAAACTACAGAAGATATGACAATTCATAAATTGTAGCTTGGATCCAGTATTCAAGAGACGTTTGTCAAGTCACTCTGGTTGCAATGGACATAACTTATGAGAATGTTTTACCCTTAAAATCTTTCTTGTCACCTGCTAAATATCATACAACGCATTTTGCCTAGTCACAATTTACCAAACTTTAAATTCTGATTCCGCATCGCGTTCGCCAATCCCCTTAAAAATCTTACATCATTTAACTTGATAAATCAATATTACTTCAATCTTTATATGTCTTCTTCTCAATATTACTCAAAATATTATGTAATTCTCTTTTCTGATCTAATGATTTATGGTCAGCACATCATTTGTAGGAACAATGGAAATCTGGGAGCACTGGACACCCGTTTCGCCTCAGTGTGGGATTCTTCAGCAGTGCGCACCCATCACCCAGCCAGGTGCTGAACCCAGAACCTTCAGGTTCAATGGCCAAAACGTAACCATTGAGCCACTGAGTTTCATTCAGAAACATCCTATGGAACATTCTTTTTCTGTTGCATGTGAATAAACCGGTGAGAAGCTTGGAAATGATATCATTGAAGTGTCACTCTTCTCTAAACTTAATCGTCAGGTTTTTCACTCAAAAATCGAAGAATATTGTACTCAGTATTCAGTGTGTCAATGGTGTTGAAAAATTTCTTCGTTAAAAGTTACCAGTTTCCGGTGTGTCTTCAAATAAATTCTCCTTAGTTCAAGGTTTTAAGACGAATACATAATTACTTTCATTGCAATCATGCTATAAGCATTCATGTTTTGTATTCAGCCGATGCTACTGGCGTTGTAGTATCAGTTAAACTGATGAACACATTTTGATGAGACCATCGTCAATACTTTAATCCACACCCTTTTTATTTGCACTGATTTGTTCCCAAAAGACTATCATACGTTCCTCACCACACTAAATGTCCTCTCAGTAGTTTTGTTGAAGTATCGAATGAGGATGAGTGACTCCAATGGTCACCCTTCTAACTTCTAAGACGACTGATTAATTTTCTTTGTGTGATCTCGGAAGGTGAATTTCTTATTGAATAGACAGGCTGAATTCGGTATGCAATTAGTTGGTAGTGTGTCCTTTAGTGTCAGTTTTATAATGTCACACACTAGGCTACCTATTAGGTTTAATCCTAGAAATAAAGTTTTCTTGATGGCAATACTTTCGCTACATATGTTCTAGGTATTTGTTTATACGCCTTTAGATGACGATTTTTGGAAGGCTGTTTCACTTCAACTTATTTCTTCAGTATCTTCCTCCATAGAGTTGTGTGGGACTAGTTTTCTAACTTCTATTATAAGAACTTGTACAGTTGTTCACTACGTCACCCTACACAAAGCTCGTCACATTTTGTTACTCCATCCACATTATTTTCACCCTACTGAACATATTTGATCACTTCATAACAATGCTTATTTCTAGAATGCCTTATTCTGCTTATGTTTGTAAATATAGCTTTTAGATTATTTCTCCTAACTTCGTCAGCCAACGTGATCGCACTCAATACATGATTCAGACAAAGTGATTCTTGACTGTTTTCGAACAACAAGCATCGATCAGAATACCTCACGATGTTAGGTCTCCAAGCTTGTTAATTATAGAACTGTGTTAGCATCTAGAACTATACTATTGGCAATTGCCTACACAATAACAACCCATCATTTTGGCGCATTAGGAGTATTTGCACTCTGTTGAAAGTTATAGACATATAATTATTCTCTGTAATTGCTGGAGGTGTACATCAGTAAAGTATCGGTAGTATTTTATGTTGTGTTCAGTTTCGCCAGTGACTTGTAAGGATAGGCATCACAGATGCTATTTGATAGGGAATCGAATATGAAGACCTAGTTACGTGATAGTAAGAAAGAATATTTTCAGTCAAGGTTACTGATTTACTTGACATCATAGCTTACCATGAATGAGTTCTTCTCTCACAATGATGTATGACTCCGAATTTCAAGACAGAAAACCTAAATGGAGTAAATAACATTCTTCCACTGTTACTACATTGAATTGTTTATTACACTTACTTTCAGAGACATTAGTTAGTTGACTAATCAGTGTAAAGTTACTTTTAAAAACAGATGTCATCAGTGCTATTGCTTTGACTAACTTTATGTTTAGCAAGTCACTGCTATCTTGTCACAATAGTTTTCAATTTGAAAAGTTTTAACTGTTTATGTATATCTCTCAACTCTTCTACGATATTAAAACGTGAGATTACCAAAATTTGTTTAACTTTATATATATACATAATACTTTCTCTGACCCGTTATCCCTTAAATTTTATTTACTTAGTTCCCGGTTATGTAAACACCGATGGTCATGCAGGTAAAAACTTAAAGTGTTTCCTCTTATATATATTTAATTCCGTACTGAAATGTTTCATAAGAAATTTATTGTTTAATTTGAACTGGTTGAAGCTTTCAATAAGGTCATTTATTATCATCGACATTTCAACACCACTCATTATCATTTGTTTACATGAATTGGTCATCAGATGATAACTAATATGACCGTCAAATATTCAGCAGTTAACTCGTCTTGTTAGTCACCTATGCCGTATAGGCTGTGACATAACGTAGAAATGTACTGGGTATCTTTTGAGATGTAAGAAGTTACTTCGTAAGTGAACGTACTTTACAACGTGGTGATAATCATTGTCTTTAAACCTTAAGACTTGATCGACCGGCCTATATAACTATTCACCAATTGAGTTTCAAATATTTTATCATCTTAGGACTCACTTGCGTATACTATCTGCAATGATCTGAATGGCTCAAAAGGTGAAGTCTCTGAATCCAGAGTTCAGCGATGCAGACCGAAATCTCCGAGATAACCTGAGCTTCATCAATATTTCAGTTGCATGAACAGCTTCATACTGACTGAGAAGTGACATTTATCCTCTTGTTTAATTCTGCATGGTTTACTGTGATAAGGTGATTTAGTCAAATATAACTGCAAGAGTCATTTACGGTCAACTGATAAGAAGTTGAACTTTTGCACTTTTTTATCGATCAAACATAACTCTATTTGCATAATGGATCCAGTTTTTATTGAATTTTTTATACATATGTAATTGTCTCTTATAGGTATTACTACTAAAAGTCTCTTAGTTCCCTATTTTGTGAATAAAGATTTCTAATTTCTTTTATATTTACAAAACTTTATGAAACTTCAGTCGTGGTGATATCTGAAGGAAGCGGAGTTAATCACTGGTGTGCTATTACTGTTGCAATGTACGAATGACAGGTATGAAAAATCTTCAAATATTAGCTTCGGTGGATCGCGTTTTCCTCTGAATTATACTTCATGAAATCATGAATCAAGTCTATTGGGGTTAATATGGTCTGGAAAACCAAGCAATTTGTGTAATACAACTTTTATTAAGCAGCTTGTTCACATATTAGATTATTTATTCGATATAGCACATACCAACACAGTTTTACTTTCTGTATGACGTTTTGACAAGATTTTATTGCTCATATTCATAACGTCAAATTCTACTCAATACGCGATCCAGTAAACAGCACTGTATCAATGTATGTCATGTCAAATAAAGAATCTTATACGGAATTATACTCTACCATAGTGTCTGTTTTACTCTTACACTAAGCTTGCTCACATGACTGTTATCTTGTAATAAATACAATCTTTTGAGTCAAGCGAATAAAGATCATACAACAGATGACCTCCAGCACATCGACTAGATGATGAAAATAAAGTAGGCCTACTGTTAAAACTAATAAAGTTGTTAACACATATTTACTAGAAATATGCTCAAACTTATTTCAAAATTTACGCTGTTGTTTTACTAATAATTACATGCAAACTATAATTTTATTGAGTCGATTGACATAGTTGAATATTTTTCTACAAAGTCGGTAAAATTTATAAAGATGTGTTCAACTTTATTTGTTGCGTGTATAAATATACATTTAATGAAATATTTACACAAGTATATGTATATAAAGACTATATAGTAAAGTACAAAAAATGCAAGAAATAATAGCTGACTAAGTAAGTAGTATGCATTAGGTAATAAGAAAAAAATTACTTCAGTAATGTAAACCATAACTGATGTTCTAGTTATTGGCAGATATCATTAAATTAAAAAGGCACCGCATTTGAGCATCTCTGTGATCAAAAAATGACTGGTTATATGTATCATATTGATATACGTGTTCAAGCATTCCAAAAAACATATAATTTGTCCAGTTATGTACAAAGTATTATGAAGTTTCAATGTTCAACATTTTGTTTCGTTGCAACTGAAACATTAGAAACACTGAGACAGTAGGAACCGAATAACTGCTAGCTTTATAAGTGAGTAATTTAATGAGAAATGAAAAACAATTGATACTTTTGATGAAGCATAATTACAGTTAGGCATTTTTCGCTGCCTGAAATGCTATGATTTATTCATTGGATATGAAATGTTTACCTTATTGTTTCATTAGAAAGAAAAAGTGTAGAAGTTACATTGTAGCTTGAAATTTTAAGTTTCCTCACGCTAAAACCATGATGATAAGAAGATGAAATGAAATTGTTAGTAGCATTACCACTAAAATAAGTGATATTAATGTTTGCTGACTAAAAGTATACCTAGTTCAGTTCAGTTTGAACATAACTAGTTAAAAGATACATATTGCTACTACGATAAGAAGGTTTCTTGGAAGTTGGCATGGATGTCTTAGACCGGGGCTATGAACACTGAACAAGGTTCCAGTATGCAAAACACAAAGAGAAGTTGAAGTGTTTCCATTGAAGAGCTTCTTAGTTTTTACTACCTAAGCAACAAATATAAATATATACACATATATCTTCAGGTGTTCAGATATGCGTCATTGGCGCTGAAGACAATATAAACATACTGTTTGCGTCTATTTTACGTCCAGGATTTTGTTGTGTGGGTAAGTTTGTCCCGCTGCCGGAACTGAGAGCAGTACCTTCAAGTGGACAACTGTTAAACGATCCGGAGTTACCTTGTAAACCTGAAAGAGAAGCTCCTGCTGTTCCAATAACCGATCCACCAGGTATCTGCATTGTATGACTCATGTGGGTAACTGCCGAATGATTGCAAGTGAGACTTACAGGTGGAGGTTGAGGGAGCAGACGATTATTGGGAATGTAATCATCTTGCCATGTTGTGCAGTTATTAACACAAACATTTTGTCCTCCAGCTAGCTTAGGATTACTACTGCTGTTCATCCAAATCTTTGATTGTCCTGCATTCCATCCTATGGTGCCCGTATTCGGTGGGGGAGAGAGATTAGGTAGGAGTGCTCCAGTGTGACTTAGAACTCCAACAGATGCTGCTTGGTTTCTTTTAGTACTTGTTGCGTACGAACGATTAAACGTGCGTTTTAGACATAGCTGCCAAGAATCCACTGTTTTACCTGACCAAATCCAAAATCCAGATGTTATCCCAACAACAAGAGACATAAAGTACTTCAACATAAATACTGCATACTCAGGCTGACTGGTAGAGTATGTTGGTGGATTTAAATGAAGTGTGAAACCGTCTTTTCTATCCATGAGTTTATCAGTTTTCTGAGAAGAATGGTAGTAATTGTCCGCCAATAAAGATCTGAGCTTCTCTAAAAAATTTTCTTGTGATGTTTCTTTCATATTTGGTAAAGGCGCACATGGACAGTTGTGCGCTTTATTCCAAGCATCACGGTTGTACAATTCATAGCAGTGACAAGCAATTACTACAGTGGCTGGGACTGTGTACAACACACCAAATATCCCAATACGTATCATTAATTTCTCTAATTTATCTGTCTTTAATTGACCTCTTGCCTGTAGTTTAATTTCACTGCGAATTTTGAATAAAGCCACAAAACCAGCCAGGAGAAATACGGTGCCAAGTCCTAAGTAAATGCACATTGGTGCGAGTACAAATATTCGAAGATATACTAAACTTGTTGATCCAACAGTGCATAACCCACCAACTGGATCTCCATCGACTGCGGATAAAATTAATACAAAGATGGCTTGCGCACCAGGGAAAAACCAAGCGAAGAAATGATAGATCTAAAATAAAAAGCATTATAAACATAAATGTAGACGATCTCCGACTCATGACTTCTGCAATAGTTAGTTCGTTAGTCTTACAAATAAAATCCCCTTAAAGTGATGACACTTGCCTCACATTTCTTCGTGTTTCAGTTAGATAGGTGTACCAACAGAACTCTGAGTTAACAAAACTGCAGTTCACTATCAAAAGTAATTACAGCTCTCCAACCAGTCCTGGAAGGAAGTGGAATTTTATTATGTTTTAAAAACTTCCCGGTACTCGAACACTTGAAGCAATCCATGTAATTCCCTGGAGTTTCACCCAGTTCAATCATGTGTTGATTAATAAACATATACAATCAAATGGTCACATCCCATAAGAAAATGACCAATGGGACTATAATAATATTAAAAGTACTGCGGAATAAGGACACTCAATAGGGTTGTAATCGGCCATTACATGCGTGCACGTAACTTGTGTGAAATTCATTCGGACTGCGAATAAATAACTTGGTCATACCTACTGGCTAAGGTGTTTATTTACCCTATTCGACCTCGATCAAACTGTTTATTTTCCATCACTTGACCTTCGTGAGCCTAGATTTTGTGAGTGACTTTAAAGGCCACCCTGGCAACAACTGAAACAACCGACTAGACTGCTCTGTCTTATGAAAATCTGCTTCTCTAGACGAATTGAAGAGTTGCAATTGGTAATTTAGGTCTTTACCAGGATGCCCTTTAGAGTCACTCAGAGTATAGATATCTAATTGATAATTTCAGTAGTTGTTATGATATCCCTTAAGGAGTGACTTTAAAGACTAAAGTCAATAATATTTTTACGTCTCGAGTACAAGTGTAGCTTTTGGACAAAATAAAAAACCTAATTAACCATTTCATCGGCGACTGCAATCACCTACCTATAAAGTAGCTTTAAGAGCTTGCAAAACAGGCGGAGTTAACAATATACTTCATATCTACGCCAATACAGAAGTTGGAATTCCGTCATACACTTGGTTTCTTGGGGTGGTAAAATTTGGATTTTTGACATTCCGAATATGAGGCCATGTCCTCTTCGAGACAGCTTTGTTGTGAATAGGTGGTTTGCATAGGATGCAAAAATCTAGCGATCATCACTTAAGTAAAACTAGTATCTGGCTGAAAAGTCAAAGAGACAATGGTAGGGTTGTGTGCCCAATTCTTGGCTTGGTGGGTTGACTAAAGTGTTATGGCCTTAAATTTACAGTCCCAATCATTGGCAACCTTGTGATGTCAAATGATGTGAAATATGAGGAAGATAACCATTACCTTACTTAATATGACTACAGCTATCACGTCAAAAAGAAGTATCCCGCCACACTGGTATTTTGTTATATTTCAAGTTGCATAAAGTCATCATAAATTGAGCTATAGCTCACGTTTTAGCTGGTGGACTGTGAGTCATTCTTCTTTCCAACCTAAACAGGTTGAAAACAAATATTTATCCTCAGGCTTCATGCAGTATATTGTGAGACCCAGCTGAACTTATTAGTGCATACTTTAGTTGTTGAGTTCAGTTTGGCAAAGCTATAGGTGAAGTATTCATTAGGCAATCTTTAGACTGTTTCCTTAAAAGGTTGGCTCTTTAGATTCTTTCACGTACCATACGGTTTCAACATCTTTTGTCGTGCAACTGTTTCTTGCTTCAACTGATTACCATTTCGGTTAGTAATTTCTTCCCTTTTATTTGATTCTCAATACCAGTTCGAAATGCAGGAACATAAGGTGATCCTGTATTGTATCGAATTCCATGTCACTGATAAAAAGATGAGCGTGTCCTGGCTGGACCAAGAAAAGACCCTAGAAGTTTTGGACTTCGCCCACGATGATGATTTAATCCCATGTCTTGTTGCACAAACTCGAAGATCTACACGCAAAAGACATTAAAATTTAATTTCTAAGTTATTATTCAGCGTCTAAAAGTAAATTTTCTCTGTGATAGTCCTGAAACATTTTACCTACTAAAATCCGAATAGAATACGTATATGCAGCTGAAAGCAAATAGAAAACTAATAAACGTCGTTCATTATATAATCAAGAACATTTTGAAATTGGCTACTATCTGGCAAATAATTATTCCTCTTCATCTTGCTTGAAGTTGCACAATTACACTATATATACCTTCGCGTCTAATGAATAGGGTTTGCGTTCATGAAGAATGAGACCGCAACCGGCTACAATTACAAATAGTCTTCTATGGTGAATCCCAATGAAATAGAGAAGCACAGTTTTACTTTAATCTTTCAGTCAACTGCTGAAAGTCATCCTTAAACTTTGAAAAAATCAGGTCACTGCTTTCTTATAAATGAATACATGAAAATATACGGAGTGAGTGACGAAGTCGGTGAGATGGGGTAAGCAATAAAAAACATTCATCGTATTATGTTTGTTGTAAAATTTATTTCACTACCAAACACATTTGAGATAATGGACTATGTAATCTCTAAACCATATCACGCATCATGTACAAATATTGAACAGAATATAATTTGCACCACTCACCTGAGAATATTTTGCGATAGCTTCCGTACCCCATTTCAGTCCTGCTGCTAAGAACCATGTCAGCGTGAGAATCACCCACCATACAGAAGAGGCCATACCGAAAACATAAGTCAGTAGGAAGACGATGCTACACTGAGCCGGTCCAGTTGTGCCGATCCTTAGTACAGGTCCATCACAAGCGATAGTTTCATGGCCCATACCGACTCGTATTAAATATCCAAGAGCAATCATAAAGTAACAAGCTGAAAGGTATATTATTGGTCGTTCTGGATATTGAAATCGACCAGGGTCGGCAAGAAATGTGGCCACAGTGGCTAGTGTAGATAAGATACACAAAACAGCCCATAATCCAAGCCAGAATGTAGCGAATGTTCTGTCTGATTGATTACCGAACGCAGGACTATGACAGGACGGTAAACACCCAGATATTCCACCAGTTATCACTTCGTTAAATGGTGGTTTCATCCAAGCGACAAATGGATCACGACATCTGCATGGCAAACAGATAACTGGACTTAAGCTTTTGCGATGAAATTTAGAATTTCTTGCAGTAATGTCATTGGTATCTTCATTCTTACCAGTAGTCTTTTTATTTCCTGTTTTTGAATAAGTATCCATTACACTACTTGTCAACTGTTCTTGTAGTTGACTGAGAATCTCTGATGGTGGAACATTTGGAAAACTGTAATTCTTATGAAATTCTTTATATTTGATTTTAGCATTAAAATTTTGTACATTTGGATTATTTACTCGACTATGTGAATTGAATTCTTTTATTAGGGTTAATATATCATGACCAGAGGATTTTGTTTCCTGTCCAATAACATTATCGTCTTTACTACTATTTTCATTCTCTTCACCTACTTCTTCAGAAGATAACAACGATGAACCTGTTGTGGTTTTTTTACTGTTTGGTGTGTTGCTTCGACTTACGCATTCATTCTGTGGAAGAGAAAACATAATGACACACATAGACAAAAAAAACCCAGTTAAGTAATAGATTTTATTATTAAAAAATAAACTTTCTGTAGAAAACCGTTTGAGTATGGCTCAGTGGATTTATTTGAGAAAGGTCTCAATTGCTTTTCATTTCCTTTTTTTTTCAAAGGAGTTGTTTTCACTTCATTTAAGACAAGATTTGGTATGAAATAACAAAAACAATATTAATCGACTTTAAATGATTCAGAAGAGATAAATTCATCACAGTCATAACTAAGTAGATAAATGTTGTGTTTACTCAAATGCAATCGAAATAGTACTTGATGTGCATGCAATATTCAACATGCTAAGTTACATTTCAAGGACCAATAGAGATTACTTAACTATAGGAAAACTGGAAATCTTCTACGTAACTGTTTATTGCTAAGAACAAACGGATGAATAAGTCGGTACTTAGAAAACATCAATGTTCATTATGTTTCCATGTTATTATGTGTCACCATGCATTTTCCACTATCTTTTAGGATTGGAAACAGTTATCTCACAACACTTGATCTAGCACAGTTTATCACAATAGCTAAACTAACAATGGCTGACCTTAGATATATGTTATATTTGAATAAATCTCACACTGTTTAAAACTAGAAATTCCAACCTTCCACATGAAAGTATGGCCCAACAAACTTTGGACTTACCTAAAATTGTTTTAGTACTGTTGATAATAATAATCGTAATAATAACGGTAACACTGAGAAAAGAGAATTCAAAACGTCTGTTGCGTGACGACATCAGTATGGCAGTTAGCTGGTATACAGAGTTATCAATAAAACTAGGATAAAGGGGGTTTTTAAACTTGCAAACTCACTTAGGAACGAGTCAAGTAGGTTTAAAGATCCTATTGATGTAATTCTGCAAACAATTTTAGTTTATCAATTTTTTCAGATGATTGTTAAGCTAAATATATAGGCTAAAGTAGAGGCTTAACGATCTTTAAGCCTTGCCTGAATAGAGGTTAAATTCGAAATCTACCAAAGGGCAGGTTCATAGCTATGCACACATACATCGAAACTTGATTGGTTACTTCGACAGTTGCCAGGGTGGCCTTTAAACTTGCTCATTGAAAAGTACTACACTTGGGTGGAGAGGAAGATGGATTACAGAATATTTTTTTCGTTGAATCATTACCTAATACATATCAGGAATAACTCAACCCATATTGCAAATATTTGCAAAATTTTACTACCACTAAAATAAAAGAATGAAGAACCGTTGGTCCACATATGTGATGTTTGAAAGTCGTATAATTACTTTGATGTAGATATCAACAAAAACTCTGCTCGAAACGTTATCCAGTAGATAATACTGTACCGCTGTATATGATATCAAATAAACAATTCTATACAGAATTACACTCTACCATAGTGCCCATGTTTCGCTCTTATATACAAAAAAAATGTTGGGTGTATCGGATAAAAAGTCAGGAACTGTAATAACTACTCTAAAAATTAATATCATTCAGCCGTGAAAATTATTTGTATAGCAACACGGCTGCTATATTTCACTTCATTACCGAGGAGTTCATAAACAAAAGGAATTCACGTTGAAGTTAAAATATCATTATTACGACCAGCTCATCCTCAATGCTATCCACATTAGCATTTTTATAATTCAGAAAGGCTGATTTCCGTAACTAATTGTCCTGACTCGTTGAAATGATGTCGAAAGTGAATCAACCTTAATTGATATATTCGCTTACTGAATAGTAACCAGGTAAGAATATATTGTTAGTTGTGTATTCACGTGTTATAAGTACACTATTCAAAGAATGCTGGCAGTCAGTTTACAATAATTTTTTTCCTAAATCAAACTTCAGTAGTTTCTGTTAAAGGTGCGTGTGCTGAAATGAATTCCTTCTTAGTGTGTTCAGCTGGTTAAAGTAGAACACAAAAGATTTTTTTTAGTAAAGTTCTGCGAAGAAAATAGCTTCTGGATCACAGCTGAGTTTCATTGTTTCAGATAGTTGTTAAACTCTGAAGAAATTTATTTGACTGTTTTTATTTGAGTGAACAGAAGGCTCACATCTGCTGGGTTACTGATACATAATGTAGACACGCTAGGTAGGATATATATATATATATATATATATATATATATAAATCGAATTTTTTTCCATCAGTCTTAGCCATTAACAGAACAAAGGTTAGAGTAAGAACAACAGTTTTCAAAGTTGATAGAAGACTGACGTGAAGTCTTCTAGACATGCAAAATGATAAGCGAAGCCTTAGCGAACACTTTTTTTGTCTTTCATTTCCTTTCCTAATTCAGACCATAAAGTTCTACGTTGAATAGGAAGATAATATCTACAAAAATGATCCTCAGCTGCTTAATTTCTACTACATCAAACCAAGAAGAAATAAATCTACCTCGTTTCAGTAATGAAGGCCACATTTCGGTTCGGAAACGGAGTTGGCTTCTTCAAAATCTCAGGAAGCTTCAGACGTATTCTGTAGCTAAGCAGAGAAATCACCTTATCTGGTGTAAGGGACAATCAAAGTTATTTGAATCTGCCACAAACTGCGCAGATGAGAAAGTTGCGACTACATGGGTACTTAGACATTGATTGCACGTCAGATAATTCGACTATTCAGCACATTAATTTAAATTCTGAAGTAACTATCATTGTAGTTTATTACAGTAAGGTACACTGAAGTTCAGTGATCAGAGATTTCGTTCTCCACAATCTCTTTGACCAAAATTTGTTTTGAGAGGTGATAAACTTCTTGAGAGGAAGCAATTAGATTTCAGTCTGTAAAATACCCACTATCATCATTTACGAGTTACCTGGACAAAGCAGACAAACCAAACACACACATCTTTGATTACTGGCTGTCCTTTTTTATCACCGGTGAGGAAAAGCAAATTATCCTTATTGGAAATTCAAAAGACAATCTCCTATCGAATTGAAGTGATTATTCATTTATACTCGAATTGATTAACTGAGTCATTCACGTCTTTAGGCTATATTACATCCTGCTGTGCAGTTCAAATTTTGTTTACTCGGTGAATGCAAATAAAGGGGAATGTTTTCAGTGTCTATAAAAGCATAGGCAAAGTTGAAATCAATATTTTTCTCAAAGAAAGATTTGAATTTTTGTGGGCAAAGTAGGCTTAATCCAGTGTCCAGATTAGTATCCTTTATGAGAAAGGCTTCAGAAAAAGGCTTTCAGGGATACTGTAAGAAACAACAAGGCGGAAACGCAGGAAAGAATGTTCATTATCGACATCTTGTACAGTAGTCATCAAATATTGTACACCCTTCACTAAGATAGTCATTTGCACAGTGTGCTTCATTTCCTTTTCTGCTCCTATCTTGATTTGCTCTTAATACGTCCACATTGTCTGTTACGTTTCTCTGGGCAGAATCTTTACTCATTGCTGGTAGCTCCTATGATTTCTACCACCCTCTCAATATATACTGCTTATATCCATTCTTATCAGCAACGACCATTACAATACCAATAAGATGTATTTGTGTGATTTTGAGAACCAGTTCCTAATCATCCAATTGCAAACTAAAGTTAATAATATACACATTGTCAAATAACAAAAATTCTTACATTTTACGTTTACTTACCCCTTCTGGAAGAAGATCACAATTCATTCTTTCAGGCCAACCGAAGCCATAAGTACGCATTACTGGCATACAGCCATCACGTGCACTTTCACAAAGTGATTTGCATGCAGTTAATCGATAATGCCAATTAGGCAAACAAATCGGTGTATACATGCTGCATAGAAATAATTTCAAGTCTTCTGAACAGTTGATTTCAACCAATGGATAGAATTGATGAACCTTATTATATAGAAAGAACAATGAGAATATAATGGTTACTTAATTTTTGGGTGATTTTCAATCATTTCTTTCAAGGAAAAACCCAAAAACAGCCAAGACTTTGAGGCGTAATCTTGAATAAGGTAAAGCCTCCCTCAATCAGAAAACGATACCTGAAACTCTTGCATTTCGACGTTGTCGTAAACAGTGGCACTACTTAACAGGATTACGATAAGAGTAAAAAGTGAGCACTGTGGTAGATTGTAATTCCTTTTTAGTCTATTTCTTAGCTGTGTCACGCAATGAAATGGCGTTATTTACTGGATATGAATATGGAAAGTAAATTATGTCAATGCATTCGACATGAGACTTGAAAGTCCTGGGCTCTCTTCTTCTTGCAGGAAATGGGGCGTACTGCTAGGAAGAAACAGCTGTCAATCGCTCCCAGGTTTTCAGTGGTTCTCCAGCTGATAAATCCATGATGAATACTACCTTGAAATGAATAAAATCCTCATGAAACTTAAACTACAACAGACTGTTTCATGGAATCTGCAAACAAACTAAACTGGTCATGTGAATTCATTCTCTGATGTATCATTATTTAGTTATAAATCTTCAAAATAATATTACCCCTAATTGTTAACAGAATACTTGAAATGCAATCTGTTATTGATAACATCTTGATTGATTTAGGAGGCAATCTGGACGGAAATTCATGTTCGAACAGTATTCAGTTTGTGATGATAATCACTAGCTGAGATGCAAAAACTATCATCACAGCAAGGTCATCTATACACAATCCTTGCATTAAGTTATACTGCTGCAACTGACAATGGAATCTAACAGTCTACGAACGATATGAACCTTATTTGCAAGGAACGTACTCTAATCGCTAAACAAAATATCAACCATATGACAACAATATTAAAGGCAGGAGAAGACAAAAAGAGAAGAGAGACTGTTGACTCAGTGCTTTTACTGTCTCAACAACAGTCAAAACAATGATGGATAATACCTGGCAGTGGAATTCAGGATGCGCATTTCCTCCTAGTTGGGACTCGTCAGCTGAGTATACCTGCCTTCTGGTGAGTGATGTTGTTCTCACCAGGATTTGGACCCAGGATCGATCGCTTTAAATGCCAGAGCGTTATCCATTATTACCCATCATTACTACAGTTAAAACACAGGTAATATTGAGGCACTGAGGAGCTCATATGCCAATAGAGGCCGATCAGTTTGGTTCTATCAACGACGGGATAATGTAAGTAATAATATTAACAGTCAAAACAGTTGGAAGCGATACTGAATATGTAGATCCTAAACAACTTTGACAAACAAGAAATTCACTGACAAGCTAAAAGAGTTAACAACCAATTAGAGTTCAGCCTTCGGCAACAGTGTGAAAAGCAAAAGCTAACAACGGAGCCAAGGGGAGTGAAAACAGCAATAGTAAAGTTATTTTAAGGTTACAGGCAAATATTCGGCAATATTCAGATAAACTTAGGGCTATGTAACTCATACTAATTCATGAAATGTGTTCTTTTGTACAATGAATAACTAATCAGGCTACTTTATCATTATTTTCCCTGATTCACTTATTCAGTATTGTTTTATGATTACCATTTTGATTTCCGAATTCTAGAGTGTTTCAAAGAATTTAAAAGTTATGCTTTTTTGAAGCCTCTCTAGCTTTGGTTGAGTGGATATACCAGTCTTCATTGATCTTCAACTGGTCATTTGCTAAAGATCTCTGTAGTTTTATCACTGTTATAATTTTATAGACGTACAATATTGTATGCATGCTTGATGATTTTATGCAATCACTAAATTTACTTATACTATGTTGACAACAAAATTATCATCACTAATTACTTCCTGGTAGAATGATTAGTGATGTTTGGACTAAAAAACTACGCAGTGACATGTTTTATACAGAATATAATTGAAAGTTATTTAAATACTTCTGTCACAATACATATTCTTCATCAGCGTAATGAACATTTGTGCCATTCACACAGGTAACTGATATTTTGTGTCATTTTAGCCAAAACTGTCATCAATGTTGGATCCTACGGGTACTGATATCCTGGCATTATATACATACTCATTCGACTCCGTTGATTTAGAAGTCTTATGACAATGTCTATCACTTAAAGGCATGTCGAGTAAGTGCATCACCCTATTCAAAGCTGTCTCTCTACTCAAACACTTGTCGGCGTGTTAGGGTCTATGGTGAGATGTCCAGGGAGCTTTGTTCATCGAGTGGTGTCCGTCAAGGCTACCCACTGTCTCCATTCCTATTCAATTTTATCATGGATATTCTTATGGAGGTCTCCCTCTCGTCACCAGGTTACACAGACGTTGACCTAATCACAGCAGAATTTTCGTTAGACCTAGAATATGCAGATGACATAGTCCTGTTAGGTGAAGACGCTGACAAAATGCAGTCTTCTGAACACTGAGTGGGAAGTTGAGAATGTTTGGGATGCGTTTCTCACCACCCAAATGCAAATCGTTGCTCCAGGATTGGTCTCTAAAGGTGCCATAGCTAACAACAGAGAGTGTAGTGGTTGAGTATGTCGACCACTTCACTTGCTTGGGAGGTGGGATCAGCCCTGATGACTCAGTGGCCGATGAAATCTCGGCACGGATACAGAAGGCTCGATTGGCTTTCGCCTGTGGTGCCGCCGTGATATCCGATTGTCTTTCAAGGGTCACGTGTACTGCACAGCAGTCCGCTCTGTTCTACTGTATGGCTGTGAAACATGGCTATTGAAGGTGGAAGACATGAGAAGGCTTCAGGTGTTTGACCACCGTTACCTTCGTAGTATAAGCCGTATTCCGTGGTGTCACTGTGTGAATAATGCAGACGTTAGGTGTAGAGTTTTAGGGAGAAGAGGTATATCAGTTGATACGGTTATAAATCTTCATCGACTGAAATGGTTGGCTCCGACATGTGTTACGTATGTCTAGTCGCCGATTGCCTCGTCACACAATGTTGGCCGAAGTAGGTTCAGGCTGGAAAAATGCTCTGGCGGTGGGGCGATAGACTAAAATATGGTATCAATGCATGAAGCCTTTGACTGTTGGTTCGAGTCATATGGGGTGATGCAGACCAGTCGGTTGGGGTCAACGAAACAAGCGGAACCAGTGCTTGGAGACTTCAGGTGATATAGCTCAGAATCGATGTCAACGGCTCAGATGTATACACACATTATCCTCATCTTAACACTATACTGATTCTCACCATTTTGTCATTCTTCCTTTCTTTCTTCTCATACTTTATATTTCTTTTGACTGAATTTTCTTATTTTCATCGTTCAGGTCACTACCTTCCTACTTGATGTACTGATATGAGGTGTGGCAACTCGGACTACTACGTAGCAATACCTGTTGATATTGATGATGATGACTCATTAAAGTGAAGGATCTTCATACTGACTATATTCCTTATCATCATCCTTGATCATTGTTCTAGAATAGTTTTAGACTAGTGTCTCATTAAATCCTTGCATTAATACAAGTCTTGGGTGAAACCTGAGGAAAAGGCTTTTAGGTTTTTGCGCTTGAAAACTCTACCATCCGTGAAACTCTTCATGAACTGTTGACTTCTAGAATCATATAACAATAAGTGCACACGCTTTTGAGAAGTCATGAAATGATTTTGAATAACAACATCTATAATGGTTTATCTGTGTTACAGAGTTTCGTTTCTTGGATTTCACTTCATTAAGAATTCACAGTGATAATCTCTAGGTTGAACCAACCTTTGTTTCTATTCTCTAGCAGGGTATGCAAGGTCAATACTACTTTGTAACTGCCCAGCTATAACGCTGACATGTAAGTAATTACTGCTCTGCATAGAATGAATAATATGTAGGGCGAAATAGGCTAAAAATAGGAACAAATTGTCTGTCAGCAGAGAAGGAATGTAAATTAATTAATGGATATCCCACCAATAGTGCTAAATTATCACTTGCAATAGGTTATGATGTAGCTTTCTGTTTCTGCACACTAAATTAAATTGTCCGAAGTTAAGACCTGATATGCATCTAGTTCTCAAAGATACATTGGTAGGGCACCAGGCTGCTAAGCGGAATGTCACTGGTTTGAATCTTGTCATGACTCACGTTTTCATTTCCCCTCAAGTTCCTATCCTGAAACTAATATAAAAATAATAGACTTTTCATTACGCAGATGGTGAAGGTCACTTTCTTGAAGGATTTAAATGGCTGAAATGGGTTAAATTACTGTTTTGTTGCTTTTTCACCTGCGAAATCAGCAGTTGTGGTGACCTTGTGGTAGTAATTTCATAGATAGGTTATTTTCTTCGAAATTTTGAGGAAATCAGTGATCTGTATTACTAACTGTGCTAACTAACTAACTAACTTTGGCCACAAAATGTGGCTGATTTCAATGAAAGACGACTGGAGTGCATCTCTAATCAATAAGGTTTAAGAAAGTCAAAGATAGTGGCAGTAAATGACTGCTGGTTCTTAAGTTATCGGTTTTTTAGTGTCTTTAAACTTCAACTTATCATGTCAATCCTGTTTTCGAACTTAGAGAAGTCTGTCAGTGAATTAATGCAGTAGGTTACACCCAACAGAATATCTGTTTCGGTGAAACGATGAAAACTTTCACGATCAAGATAAGAATGTTAATCTGGAAAATTCAACTAGGGAACGCTTAGTGGTTACATGAGTAAAGCAAGCACATGGTTTGAAGTTTTACCTAAACAACATGTGCCTTTCAGATTTATCCAATCTCTGAAATACGTCCTAAAATGTTTACTCCATATGTATTTAATTAGTTATTTGTTTCAGTCAACCAGTCTACTTACCTGCCCTTGTTTGTATCGGCCTGCATTAGAAAGCTTATGAAGGTATACTTGTCCTAGTTTATGTGCGTGCGTTTTGTCCAAATGTAGTTAAATTCTTCAACTTTACTGTGGATGTTTTGGTATGTTATTTTTTGGTACCTTGAGGGCCTAAAACAAAAACACCTGGTGTTTACACTGCTGT